CTGAGGAGTTCATCTCCAGCACTACATCAGACAATGTTTCTCTGCTATTCATAAGGTTTTCAGTGGCCAATTTTTTTTTCAGAAGTGGGCCTAGCCATGTCCTTCTCCCTAGTCTCTCTTATTCTGAAAGCTCCACTGAAACCTATCCACCATGGGTAACTATTAGTATTTTAAATACTGCCAGCATAGCTTCTAGCATCACAGCAAGACACTAGCCACCACAGTATGACAAACTGACAGATGCATACAACTCATATAAAGGGAATCTGGCACTGTCCTGGTTTATCTAGTGCTGCCATAACAGAAATACCATAAGTGGATGGCTTAACAAATAAGGCAATTATTCTCTCACAGTTTGTTGTTGTTGCTGCTGTTATGTGCCGTCGAGTCGGACCCGACTCATAGTGACACCTCCTTGGGTTTCTGAGGCAGTATCACTACGGAAGTAGATTGCCCCATCTTCCTTCTGAGGAGTGGCTAGAAGTCTGACTTCAGGGTACTGGCTCCTGGGGAAGGCCTTTTCTCTCTGTTGGCTCTGGAGGAAGGTCTTTGTCTCCTTTCAACATCTGTGGACCCAGTGTTCCTTGCAGATTTCCATTTGTCTTTGTATCAATCTTCCTCTGGGTCTAGGAGGTTCTCAGTGAAGGGAAACCATGTACAAAGGACACACTCTTCTCCCAGCTCATCCTTTATCTTCTCTTGTAAGATAAAAAGTGATACAGGGCCACATCCCAGGAAAACTCTCCTTACATCAGTTGAGGACTGTGACCTAAGTAAGGGTGGTATACCCCACCTTATTCCCCTTACCACTGATTGGCTGCTCACATCAGATCACATCATGGGGGATTATTACATCAGTACAAAACTGCCAAACCACTGAGAATCACAGTCCAGCCAAGTTGATATATATTTTGTATAATCAACAATTGGGATGGATCACAATTTAATCCACAACAGGCATATCTTCCTAAATTAACAGTGTACTTACCTTTTGCCCCAACAATATAAATCACAGGAAACTAACCTAAAGATGGCCAAAGTGATATGTAATTGATCAGCTGCTAACCTAAAGACTGCCAGTTTGAGTATTTCTACGCTGTAACACATATTAAGTGTGTGTGGGGGGGAAGCAAGATAGAGAATACTACTTGAAATAAGCTATATTTCATGAAAGAAAGGAATAGTATATATATATACATATATTCTTACATATATGTGCATATATGTAGACACACTGTGGTGTAGTAAATTACTTAGTGTGGCTTTTCTGCCCATAAGTCTTTGTAAACTCCAAGGTGGGATTTTCTATGAGCAACTGAGGAGCTCCTGATTGTAAATGTTATCCACGTGGTGTATTTCTGTTGGGCGTGGCACAATACAATGTTCTGGGAGGTTCCCACTCTCTCTCAGGTGCTTAGAGTTCTGATGCTGTGATTGGCTAGTTTGACCACCCTGCAGGGCTCAAAAGGAGGCCTCCTAG